TATGTCATACTCACACGGTAATTTTCCATTTGGTTATATGAGCGAACTAAGATTGGATTGGATGTTGAAAAAAATAAATTCTGTTAAAAATAGGCATCACACTATTCGAGTGGAACTCAAACTCATTCGATCGATTCCATTAATTATTATTATCATTCCATTTGGACTAGTGTGACAAAGTTCATGTGAAAAAAGTCGATACATTAATAAGTCTCACATTTATCGAAACGATAAATAACTTTCAACGAATTCAAGAGCAAAAAGTCTTTTGACAATGTCAAACTTTGACATTTACCATTTCGAAGTTCAAAATTGTAAATCAATGCGTGGGAAATTCGAAAGCATGTGAAAGCAGAGAGAAGAGAGAAATCATTTCTACCTCATTAGAATTTCAATGAGGCCGGCCTATCAAGACAAAAGACATAATTGAAATTGATTGGGTGTCAATACAATTGACCAGGACTTTATAACTCATCGAATCGGCTCGAGGTCGTGCGGCCACACACACAAAAAAAGGCAGAAAAATGGAAAGTCACATCATCGGTTAACATGCACACAAATCGATAATTTGAAAATATGACCTAAGTTCTCTAATGCATACCAATGATTCCAGAACATGGACAAAAACGAAAAGCCATAGCATCAAGGCAGAGAATGCGAGAAAGCACAAAGAGAGGGAGAGAGAGAGAAAGACAAAGTGAATGACTAAAATGGAAAAGCCAGCATCAAACCCGCCGAGAAAATCAAGATCTCGGTTGGTGAAAAGCAATTTATCAAAGGAGCACCATATCGAATGCACGTGTGTACGTATCCTTGCATATTTATGCTCACAAAAGCCATCAATTTGGGGTAACTTTTGTTATTCGTTTGTATTTGTGTGTGTGTGTGTTTGTGCAGAGACGAGCAATTACTGCACGGTTTTGTTGTTTGGTTGCGCGTGTGAGAGGAAACAAATCCAATTTCCAAGCAAACGATGGCTTGCTGAAGTACAGAAAGGATGTATGTGTTTATAGCTCCTAATAAAATAATGCTTTTGAGAGATACGACTTTGTCATCTGCGTTGAACGATGTTGATTCGGGAGAGCAAGCGAGTAAACGGTAGGGGGACATAGAGAGAGTGGTAAAGGTATATCTGTGACGATATGAAAATTTTCGAATGGAATTTAGAAATGGAAGAGTTGTAAAGTGATACGAATGTCAATATACCGGAACGGAAACGATATGATAACAAGTGTGTGTGTGTGTGTGTTATTCCATAATGGTAGCGCGTCCAAAGACACATCGAGAGAAACAGCGTGTGCACCGAGTGAAAACCACACGGCAAAGCAATTTATTATGCACACACTTTGGGCAAACTTGTTTTGTCGATATGACTTCATCGTTTTGGGAGACAAAAAAACTGTTTGGATCAAGTGCAATGTGCAAACAGTTGCACCGACGAAGCGTTCGCTTTGTGCGTTCTTATGAAATGCGGGGCCTGCCTGAAACTGATGTGCATCCCAATTGATAATGTGTTTGCATTTCAAATCACAAAAGCCAACGGATTTTATGCTGGTATTAAAATGCACGATCGCCGAAAAAAAAACCAAGCGAAAGATTTTGCAGATAATGTTTTGGAATTTCCACGAAACTCCATTAAAATTCTAACACACATTCAAAGTTCGTCTCTTTCACTGCGAATTCTATGGAATTTTCGCCTGCTTCACAGTCAATATCCATTAAATTTAATTAAATTAGACGAACTTGAATTTATGTCTCAATGCATTGCCATTTTTCGACTGTGCATTCAACTGAGCCAGTGCTTGCACTAATATCGTCATAAAATCGATTCACTCATCTCGAAATATTGCCATAAACATATCAATCTAGTACATTTAATTAATAACGAATGCATTTGCCTAATGGGGTGCTCTCCTCTCTCTCTCTCTCTCTCTCTCTCTCTCTCTCTCTCTCTCTCTCTCTCTCTCTCTCTCATCGTGCCAATTCTACATCCTCAACGGTTGTTAATTTGTGTTTATTTTGTCGGTGTTAATGTGTCATCATTTGTGATGCTACATTTCCATTTGCGAAAAATAAATAACATTTTAATTCATTAGATGATTGAGTTTGCATTCGAAATCAAATATTCCATCAAGAGACTTTGATGCACACACACACACTGCATGTTTGGAATGGGGCTATCAATTAAATGATTCACATGAATTACACCGTTCGATGGAACCCAACAGCAGAAAAGTTTTGTCAAAAAGAGCTCTTTCTCACTCTCTCTCACTCTCACTCCTTGTCTCTCTGATGCAACGCAGATTAAATTCTTCCAATAATTTGTGCAAGCAATGAACGTTTGCAAAAGCTTGGAATTTGCATTGAAACCAAAAGCACAGAAGGACTCCCGTATATTAAAGGCACCGAAAATGGTGAAATTGTGATGTATCTCAACAAGATCTATAGTGAATTATCCATTGTCTTACGAATCTTTCGGTTTAAAACTTGACAAATCAACGTCTTTGTCTATTGTGTAAACGAACTTTAATGCTAATACAATTAGTGCACACAAACGATACCTTTTGTGTGATGGTTCCTTTGTAAATAGGAATTTTAATCATTAATTTTCTAGCTTTCACATTCGATTGAGATGAACTCGGGGATAATGATTTCTGTTCAGTTAACTAATTCTCGGAACTCTTTATCATGGAATTCCTAGCAAATGGTAATGCTATCGATTTTCAAACTTCATTCATTCTAGCATCAATTACTATCTTCGAGAACTTCGATGCTACAATGGTTTTTAACAGAGTAACCGAAAACCAATCACTTTTCAAAGTGATTCAAAATGCATTTCATTTTCACGGAATACAAACAAGTCAAAGACAAAGCTTTATCAAGAATATTTTTTTTATAGTTAAGCAGAAAATAATGAATGGAGTTGTTTGGCATTCAGTGAATGCTATTCACTTTAACAATCAGTTTCATCTGATTTCGTGCGAGTGCTTTCTAATGGAATACGTCATGCCGAAGTTCTATTGAGTACGCTTCTTGAAATTTTCGAGAATGTTGTGTTACACATTAGTGAACACCACTTAATAATTTATTCATATCGATCGAAATCCATTTATCAAGTTTTCAAGCACAACATAACGAACGTTGTCATGTCGGTATCGAAGAAACCCATTTGTAGTTTGTAGTTGTTTCAAATTCATAGTTTTCAAACTTAATTTTATCACATTTACATTGTGATACTTTACAATGCGATCGAAAGTTCAGCAATACATTTTCGTGCTGTTTCCATGGCAACAATTCAATTTGAATCATAATAAACATAAATTTGGTCGACAATTTTAATCACCGTAATCGATATTGCTTGGAACAAGTGATGCTCATAAATTGAATTATGATAAATAAATCATTAGCTGATTTTACATTTTTAACCAAAAAACCACCCCCAATTTTTTTTTATTCACTAGATATTTCACATTGAATGTAAACAATGAAATGGCGTTGAACAGAAAACAAATTCCATTCACGCGAAAACCCGATGACAAAACTGTTTATGCCAATAACCAGTGGCGTAATTAGGGGGAGTTTTGGGGTTCAAACCCCCCCCCCGAAATCAAATCATCCCAAAATTTTTTTTACAATAAATAAAGGGAAAATTGAGTTTCAGGATATTCAATATCAAAAATTTCGGCTCGCTTCGCTCGCCATACGAACAATATTATATAAAGTTGTATCGCCTGAGCAGTCGATCGCTTAATTTTGGACATTTTAGCTAATTAAAAATGATTATCTCAAACGAAATAGACGGCTGTAGTCGCCTGATAGTTATTCTTCAGTCAATATGTTCGAAATAAAACGACTAAAGCCGACTATTTTTCATACAAGATTCCAAAAGTGAATTTAACCCTCTAATGCATTAATTTTTCCCAGGGCTGGGAGTACTGGTACTTGGTTGATTTTTGGCCATCGATATTTAAAAAAATATTCATAATCCTAGATTCCTCATGGTTTAGTCAGGAAATGCGATTGACATAAATCAGAGAACAATCAAATCCATTGTTTAAAAGTGAAAAAAATGAAATAATTTATTTTGTCAAATTTTTGTTTTTATGGACATTCTAGTTTATAACTCAACAACCATTTGATGTAGACTAATAGTGCAAAGACAAGATTATAGAGGATACCTTGACGAATAAAAATGACTATTAAGCAATGTGATCCGATGTACGGTTCACGTTCTACAGGTGTTCAAATGTTGCCCGTCTAGAGGCGGTTGTATGCATTAGAGGGTTAACTATCTGTGAATTGAATCACTTTCAAGTTTCATCCGATTTAAGCAGTCTGTCAATATATTTCCACATGGGATGATAAACTCTTTTGAATACTTCGGCTGGAAATCCAAAATAAAGAATATGTTCTCTATGCTCTAAGTTGATTGTTAATAGATCTAAAAAATCACTACTTTGAATATCCACAGGAAATCGTCCCTGCATTTATTTCTAATACTTGTGCAAAAACGAAAACCCCCCCCCGAAAGAAATTCCTAGTTACGCCGCTGCCAATAACATTATTATCAAATACAATTAAAAATGCAAAACCAATTGGTTAACCAGATTCATTGTGTATTTGATGTGCATTGTTCGTCGTTGTTATATATTTTCATTCAGATGCATCGGGCGCAACCTGTTTTAAATACCCGTTAAATCCACACAATTGCTTGATCATTTTATAACTATTATGTGGCATAAAATGAACAACAATGCGCACTTTGAGGAGGGCTAATGAAAAAGTGTTCCGATTTGTTCTTTTTTTATATCTCGAATGCACTGGACGGTATAAAAGTGACAATATCACTGAAATCCATCTAATCCGATAAAACACAATTGTTACAACCACAAATTTCCCATGTCAAACCTTGGGTAAGTTGATAATAATCGGTCCTTAATTCGAAATGAAAATATAAACACGAATATTTATAAAGGTAAGCAAAAAAATGGAATGCTAACCGTTTCCTCCCGGCGATTTGGTGGAAAATTCGTTTATTTAATACACCGTTGACGACTGAGTTGAGTGTCTGTTTCTCTCTATCCACACCGACAATACATTCACTGTTTCACTTGCTGTAATATAATGTATATTGTTTGTGACGGGTAAACAGAGCGGCGACTTATATTCTTTTTTCCTGTTTTTATTTATTCCTCTTTCTCTCAGTTTTAATTTGAGCAATAAATCTAAATGATGACACAACAAAATCGTCACTTAATTTATTCTCACGATTTTTTTTCTGTTGCTTTTGCTTCGTTATTTTTATACGGTTTTCATTATCCACGACGCGTCTCTTCTAATTTTTCGGTGTTTATAATCTCTTTCATCACTTTTTTCCTTCCTTTCTCTCGGATATACTTTTTGGATACACGTTCGGTTACACGCTTGTCATACACAACGTTCCGTTTATATTCTGGGATGAACCAAATTTCTTGTACATTTACCCAGCGTCTGATGCTGTCAAATTAATTATGTTTATATTCTTTTGATGAGCTCTGCTTAGTTCATTTTGCGGAACAACACTGTAAACTGCGTGTATTTTATCTGAATATTCGGTTTTTGGTGCAAAGTATCAATGAATCTCTGAAGATCTAATGAACGCTTTTTACTTCACTCATAATTATAATTTTCAACAGCATAAACAATCACTCGTTGCTAATAGTCTGTTCACTGAATTCACAAGGTCGATCGGTTTTTATGTAGTCTCGGCACAGCGGTTTTTCTAAGCAAAACACTCACTGTGTGTGCTCCCAATGTACGGATGATATGCCCCTGAAATGAAAAAAAGAAAAGAGTAAGACGAAAGAAAAATGCTTTTATTCGTGTGGTATCTGAGAGAATTTGTGTATGTCGGTTCTTTGCTCTGATCCTTTGACATCAATGAAATTTAGACGCATCTTTCACGACATCCATATATTTTATCGGTTTTCATTTAATAAGCGTTATTCACTCACATATACACTCATTTAGCGCTTCCCTATCGAAGAATGTGTGTCTGAGATGCCGTTCGAGTGTCGTGCCGCAGAAAAAAAACCACAACAACAACAAACGCACCAGAGACAGAATGTAAAAGGGAAGTGTGAAGCATGAGTAACAGGGAGTGCGACGAAGAAAAACAAATCAGCAGACACGCAAAATAACGCACATTCGAGATTCATTCGCTCCAATTTCAAATTGAACTCTCTCATTAATAAATATTCCAAATGCGCGGATAGGAGAAGGCATTCAAGCAATTTTCGTTCAGTTCGGAATTGAAGCGCCTCTATAAGACCATCCAAAGCGACGACCCAATACACACGCACATGATTTATTTATTTTATTGTATTGAAAATGCGCTCATACATGATGATTATCGCTGTTTTTATGAACCATCGCGATTTTTTTTTGATTCGCCGCCGCTCTTTGTGTTCGCTTTTTTTACAATCCCTCTCCCAGCACGTTAACTAATGAAAGAGTTTTTGTTCCGGATCTCTTTTTTTCCACGCGCTTTTTTTATGTTGTCTGCGATTGAATCGAATCTTCCTTTTTATTGCTGCTTTAAATTTTGTTTTAAGGCATTTGTTTATTTACACGGTTTTTGCATTTAAAATTGCGGTGTTGCTAGAGTACGATGTTACCGTCGTCAAATGCCGGTCGATTTGTTTAGGTCTCTAGTTTTTGATATATGTCTGTTTTTGTTTCTACCTAGAAAAATGTGTGCGCGACTGTCTCTGTGTGTGTCCATATGATATACGTATTTCATTAGAACAACCGAAAGGAGGAAGATACATCCGACTCTTTATTTATCCGACGAGTATTCTTCGCGTGTTGGTTACTATTCGTGAGCGTTTATATAGCGTTAAAATTACGTCGCAGTTTTCGAATTTGGCGTTTTTTGTTTTGTTTCGATGAGTGTGTGTCGTTGTTGCTGTGTGCGAGGGTTTCTAGGAAGACACATATTAATTCCAGCGCTAATGCGAACGTTACCAATGGTATTATATTGAATTATTGCGTGAATCCGATTCATCATAAGGAAAAAAAACTAGCATATTAAAATGAAACCCCTTTTTTCGCTCTCTCAAGTAGTTTCCTCATCGAATATATATGGGTTTGTGTGTTGATGAGTTATAGTTTGACCTCAAAATGTATATCGCCATGATTTATGCGTGTCCAAACTCACACAAATATTCTTTTGCACCAGAGACCAGACGCTGCTATTGTTTCAACAACATCAGCCGCAGCAGCTGTAATCTGTTTGTACATACAGGCTTGCCACACGTTAGCTATTTTAGCTATTTTCGACTATTTTAAAAACCGTAGCTATTTTCAGCTATTTCACGAAAAATTTGCTATTTTCAGCTATTTTGAAATTTATGATGAAAATAAAGAATTAACGGTATTGAAATGCAATATGATCAACATGAATCATCGAAATCTCTGGGAAATCAAACAAATACAGCTGTTGAATTTACTGACGATAAAATTCGTTTTGTTTATTGTTGATATACTTCGTTGAAACATACGATAATCAATGTATATATTGGTTGGCTTTTTTGCTAACTCAGCAAAGAATTATTTTGCTTGGTTTGTCATTATAAGTAACGTTTCGAATTGAAGACAATTGCGCGAAATTATTTCAATTATCATATGATTGAATTCAGTCGTCTTTCAGCAATGAGTGCCAAAGGAACTAAATTCAGCCAAGAATGGCTAAAGCGATCAGTGGAATTCGAAGGCAAAAATATCGAACTTAAAAGTATTTTTTCTCGTCACAGTGAAGTTGAGGTAACGTGTTTGGTATGCCCGGCAACAGTTCACGTTCAGAGCAAAGGATTTGCTGCATTAGAACAACACATGGGCACGGTTAAACATAAGAATCAAATGAAAACGAAATTCAATGAATTGCAACAAAAGTTGGATTTTGATGTCGCGTCGAATCAATCGACAAGTAGCAGTTTGGAAGCAACGAAATGGAAAATGCTTGCACCGAAAGAACAAACAACAAGAGCGGAATTATTAATTCTACTCAACGGTTTATCAAACAACTGTTCGCTAAATGCATTCGATAATTTGGGATCTGTGTTAAAATTCGCAATCAGTGACTCAGAAATACTTAAATCGCTTACATTGAATCGAACAAAGGCAACCTATATTTTGAACTTCGCGCTCGGGCCGTATTTCTACAAGAAAGTGATTAAGGATATCAATAGGCAGTTGTACTTCACACTGCTGTTCGATGAAACTGTAAACAGTGCAAACAAGAAAGAACTACAAATCCGCATTCGCTATTTTTCTAATAGTTTACAGCGAGCAGTAACGCGTCACCTGCAAACATTTTATTTGGGCACTGCCACAGCGAAAATTATCGTTTCAAAGCTGATTCAAGCCATCAATGATGCCAATCAACGAAGCAAAGAAACGATTTGATGATAAGAAATCGAGTATTGATGAGATAACTAGTGCTGCAGAAAATATGTTATCTACTGGATTAAAAACAAAAAACTTTGAAACAATGACAACCGCACAAGCTATGTTCGACAATGCAAAAAAACAACGCGAAGAACTACAAGCAATTCAAATCGAAATCGATAATCTGTCAAGAGCTAAAAGACAGAAGTCCGCCTTAATAAGTGGTTATTTTTCAAAGAAATAATGACCCGTCATTTTTTGCAGTGTCGAACATCGTTTATGTTTATAAACAAATGATATTAATATTGATATAGATCATTGGCATGCACTGTTTTCTTATTATTCATCAATAAAAAACGAAAAGAAACGAATATATGTTTATTGTTTGACCTTAGGAACGATTTTAATAACGGTTTGTATAGATATTTGCACTTTTCTTCGCTTTCAGCTTTTTTTGCTATTTCAAATTTTTTTTTTGCTTTTTCGACTATTTTTTTTTCAAAATCGTGTGGCAAGCCTGTACATAGCAACTAAATTATTTGTTGAGTCACAATCTGTGGCTCATTGTCAGTTGATTACCCATTTTCAGTCAGTATGTTGGAATCATTAATGAAGTTAGACGCAAATGAGTGCAAAAAAGCGCGGTTTTAAATAGATTTTCAAGATGTTCTTTTAATATAATGAAAATTTAAACTTGAAATGCTAATGCATATTCCGGAATCGGGCTGATAAACCAGAAAGAAAGGTCCATAAACCTTAAATATGGTCATCAGAAAAGCAAATAACTTTATTCGCAATAAAACAACACAAATCACTGCATCGGTTGATATAAATAAAAAAAGACAGCCTACATCGAACCGCATGATATACAATAGCTATACCAAAATAAAAACATCGTGATATATCTCTCGACTCTCGATATACCGTATAAAAAAATTCGCATAGACTGAGTATAGGAAAAATAACAATCCATTGAGGGCAATGCAAACCGGTTTCAGAGCAAATCGGCGGACAAATACCAATTAATCGGCTTAGTTCGGTGTGTTCATTTAAAACTCTTCACAGAAGATTTCAATATCTATGGCCTCTCGTCATTAGTGAATCAACTCTCGCAACGAGATGAACTAATGAATAAAGCATCACTTTTTTTTTCGCTCGCTATTCCTCTTTATCATCCGGTGTTTTTGTAGTGATTTACTTCATACGAGGAACGAAACTCTCTGTTCAACTTATAGCCAATACATACTTCAAGTCAAAACAAACAACGCATCGAAACAGCATGGCACAAGGGAGAACGGCATTTTTATTCGTTGCACACCGCTTATCGTTCGATGCCTTAGTTTTATGATTTATTTATAAAATTCTATTTGTAACACTTGAATTCGAGAAAGCGTGCGCCAAACTACTTTCCATGTGTGTTGTTTCCCATCATCATTTTCTTCGGGTTGAAACTATGCAGCGCATTTGTTTACATTTGCACATCTATTTTTGATGCTTGTTACGGATGCTGGTTGCCGCAAAAAATATAGCAAAACGAAATGTAAAACCGCTCAAAAAACAGTCATTCATTTAAGCATCAAATTCAACTAAAATGTGAGCTAAGATGCTCATGAGAAGCGTCGTGATCATCGTGAGAATGCGAAAATTGAGCAAGTAACGGGAGAATAAATGTCACATTTCGATTTAATTCGAAGCACTTAAATGACAACACACCATGTGATTTATTGAGCCATTTGCTCGCGTTGATGTTCCAACATCTAGATTGAACGATGAAAAAAAAATGTTTTAAAAGCAATCCATTTGAAAATGTATATTGATTTCATTATCGGCGCTGATTTCGCGGTTAATTTCAATTTGTCACCATTCATTCTTGTGCAATATGAAGCGTATCGGTGCCGTTCTGTATTTTTTTTTGCGCTCGTTTTACTCCATTCTCAGTTTAATAGCATCGATTTTATTCGATTCTCGCAGTGTCAGCTCTTCGCTCGATTTTCGCTCAAGACAGTTTCGATTTTGTTATCAATTCAATACATTTACGCACTCGCCTCACACTCATCAACGATTCGTCTGGCAAAACTTTAGTTTGTTTGTCTTTCTTTTATTTCGGTTTGCGCGGCTATTATTCTTCTGCGATGATTAATATCTGGTCTCGCATGCGGCAGACGACAACAACGACAAATAAACATGCATGTATTCGGTTCGAGTTGTCTACGAAACTCATAAAAATTGCCAATAAATCACAGTACTCGATTTGAAACGCGGGGACAACGACAACCGACAACAGCGAAACAACGAAAAAAATCGGCCACAAATTGAGTGAGTGAGCAGTTTTGGCATTGACAATGATTTGCGATGTAATTCGCTATAATTTTTTTTTCACTTTTCTTCTTCTTCTGTTTCATTTTTTGCCTAAGCAATAATTGAACGAATAATCAAACGATAAAAAAAAAAGATATTACGAGTAAATGAATGTCATAAAATGAAAATCGAAACCGAAAAACACACACACTGAATAATTTAAAATAAAAATTGAAATTAAACGTTGAGTGTGCGGCGTCAATGTTCGGATATAAATATGCGCTGACGTACTCTCAATTTTGTCCCTCTTAATGCCAAATAATTCTAAAAGTTTTACTCTGATTTGATTGAAAAAAAGAAGAAATAGAACCTACTCAAAAAAATAGCAGTGTCTTTTGCAGGTTACGCAGGCATATAACACGACCGAAACCGAGAGCGGTGAACAAACCAGAAACCTCCAAAATTGGTATTTTCACTCCAAAATAGATTCGAACAAATTTTTCGAGCTCACGTTGTTGTCACACACGATGTGTGGTATTAGTCTTTACACATAAATCTAGAACAATTGCCAATTCACATATTCAATGGCTTGTTTTATTCGATTAACACAAACGAAATCGATAAATCTCAAAGTCTCAAAATTCGAGTCTCGAGAACTCGCACACAAACACATTCAACTGTTCGGTTTGGGTCGACCGATTCTCAACTTGTTTTTGACTTCGTAGAATTGGTTTTAACCCTCTCGCTCAAATGATTCATGCACCGCGAATGGTTTCACTGGTTTTTTTTTTGTGTTGCTGTCTCACTTCTTCCAATTATATATTTCTATCTAGTCTACTGAACACGAAAGGAATTCACTTTTGTAGCAGTTCGATTCACAAATGCACGAAATTCACAGCTTCAGCGAAAATGAATGAACAACAACAACAAAGCGAAAAAAAAGAATTGAAGAAAACCGCGTGCAGAAAAACAAGCATTAAATCGCATACCAGTCCATTGCATTCATTGACACGAGAAAAAGTTTATTTCGTAGAAAGAAAACAAATGCAAACATGAAGAGTACACAAAAAAAAAACACTTCGAGTCTTTGAATTCTGTCGTAGTAATTTTTTCGCATCCAAGGTAAATAGAAACATACGATCTACTCACGCTATTGAATTGTGTGTGTTGAACTTCGATCGAAGAACAAAACGAACCGTATTCACTGAGCGTTAGATAAAGACTAACGCAATGTGAAACATGCGAACCATTCAAAAATACGACCGTGCAAAGAGCATTATCCATGCACCGCACACAACAAACGTGACATCAGCCCAATAGCCCTCATAGCGAACGAGCGCGAGTCAAAAGTTCTGTGAGCATTGGTTGAATGTGTCTTATGCTACGAATGAATGTATGTGAACCTTTGTCGCTTGTTCTGACTGCGAATCCGACTGACTGTCCCCGTATTGTTGCAAGGCGCCGCTTGAGTGAGAATATTGTACTTCATTTACGCTTTTTATTTGTTGTCTTCTGAATGAATTTCGAGAGGCACACGCCAAAAAGTGAACACGCATCATAACAAAATTCCAGTGAGACGACAACGGAACCCATACACACTCAACGGTTTTGTTGAATGAATGCGAATTCACTCGAGCTTGGGGAAGATGAGAATCGCTCAATTTTCACTCAAACGTAGCAGTAATCAAATGTTGAGTAAAATTTTTACCGATGTACGATGTACACAATACGTTTGTATTGTTATTCAGCCGCCTGGATGTTTGCTTAGCATTTACTAGATTTTAAAGTGCTTCCGATTTCGAATAGCCATATGTGTGTTGCCAATGTTTTGGTTGTCTATTTTAAAGCGTTTTTATCGATACTCACAAATGATGCATTACAAATGAATGTTTTACTACTTGCTAAGGCCCAACACTTGCTTTTCAATCCTTTTGTACGTGTGTATATCAATGTTGGGCGTAACTGGAGCGTAATTATTACACCCGTAAGTCATATTTCCGAAGATTCACTGCTTTGCTGATGCAAATAATTCTACACGAAGCGGTTCATCTATCAACCTTCTATGGGCATTTACAAGACGATTTACCCATAAGCATTTGAATGTTGATTCATTTATCGAATTTTATGTACAAACTTCGACGTTTATCACCATTCACATTTCTCGGGAGAAAGTGTATAAACATGTGCTTCATGTCACAATGTCTAGCATTTTTTTCATTGTGATTGGGCTCATTTAACTGTAATTTGTGTTTGGCAGATACCAATTTTATGGCATAAGTCAATCAATTTTTTCCTTCATCACAATATTTATGGGTCGTGATTCGTTGTTCGAACATAATTTTATGGTCGATGCTCGATAATTTGTACGTCTATAAGTCAGCTTCTTCGAAGTCTTGAGAGTGTTTGCAAATCTGTTGTTCGAAACAGATATAAAGAGACCTGATCCCTTTGTGTAGTTTCGAATATAGCTAAGATTCAAGGGGGCCATTCGATCTGCGTCATTCGATAGAATCAATTGAAAAGGCACAAACACTTGTGTAAGAGAGTCAAAACTTATTATAACTAAAACTAGACAACTGCGAAGAAAGTTGGTAATCAAATCTTGATTAAGTCAAACATTGAACGTATGATTGTTGTTTTCATTCCATTTCCTACGGCATATGTTATGATGCTACAGCGAAAAAAGTCCACCCCACGGAATTTTAGCGAAAGTAACCCTCCAGATTCGACGAATCGTAAATAAAAATGTGGTGGTAGTAATTTTATATTCAGCGACCGTTCATAAAAATGATGTCATCGCAAAAACGAATCCGGTTCAATGTACGCAAAAATGGTAAAGTATTCCGTCAATAGCCGTGGTTTTAAAAAGGGCGTACAGTGTTTCACATACACTCATGTGCACACTACCCAACGTACATTACTTCTTCCAGACACAACATCATCTGCGTAACTCTTTAATTACGCATTTGTTTTCGGTGTTTTTTTTTCTTCAATAAAAATATAGCACTGAATTTGTATATATTTTAGGATTTGGTTGACTTGTGCCGAAATTAACAGCCCATCTGCTGCATCAAACCTTATTATATGCACGTTGAACCCGGCTAGAAAAGTCGGAAGAATATATGTATCCGAACATCATAATTCCCACATGGGAACCAATGGTATAGGCAATACCTATCTCAAGACATTATAACACAAAGTATATTCTGCGCCACATGTGCTGTCAAACGGCGATTGTTGTGAGTTCCGAAGAAGAAACTCTTGACATTCACAAAGTTGACATTCAATTAGTTGATTCCATTACGAGAGTGACAGCCAAACTTTCATAATCTGTGTCATACACAAAGTAGGCGAATCGAAACCAAAGCCATAGAAACAGTTTCGATGCGCTCAAGTTCACAATATATAAATCTATAGTCGAACCGAGTTCCAAAGGACATGGTTACAGCCATTCAAACTTGTTTGTCCTTTGTACAAAATAACAAAAGGATAAGAAAACAGCTGCCAGTCTTGAAGATGCTATTCATCCGGGCGTTTCGCTTTCACCGTTCATCCTGATTCGCATACCATCAAGCAAATTAAATTTTGATTATTCATAGCTGTCATTCTTTTATGCATATTCATTAGAATGTTGAATATTGCATTGCCGTCATCGTTGTCAGTATGAACAAGTATTTAGTAATTATTCTAATTCATTTGGCTGCTAGAAGTAGAGCAAATGCTGGAAACATAAATCGATATCATGCTAATGAGTTTACGGGCGATAATGCATGGCGCTGCTTGAGTCATGGTGCGACCATCAAGTTAAATTACAAATCGATTTGACAACGCTTCTTAATCGATACGGCTGCATACCAATTGAAAAATATGTAATAATCAAATTTTACAATTGAAAGCTCACAAAGCTGGTTCATTCAGAAGTTTTCAATACAAATGAAAACAACCATTAAAAGTTCGTAAACTTCCTTTTATTGCGTTTCATAACATTTTGCAAACAATCAACTCCACTTGTTTTTCAATTTACGGCCAGTAGAAATATAATCATGAAGAATTTTCAGTTCAAAGTTTGAGTGTAAATAACCACAACCATTCGGAGAACACCTTGAAATTGCAAAACAGTTTACGTCTGATCTTGTGCAAATAATTCAAAGCAAACAACGAAACAAAAAAAAAACAGACACAACTGCTTTCTGTTCGCCTCAATTATAAACTGCTGTGGTCCATGTATTAATACACAAGAAAACCAAATGAATCCTTTTTAGTGTTCGTTCGGTTTGTGGAAAATGTATCACGGAGGACGGTAGTCCGACAAGTGATGCACCATAGACTGTGCATTTCAAGCCAAATATCAAAAATGCCAGTTTTTGCGTCACGAGTATATATACAGTAAGTATGCTATTTTCTCAGGACACTATTTGGGCCCCGGCATGTTGGGTACTGTTGGAAAGGTGTTGGCCCAAATAGTCGGAAAAACCATATCCCCCATGCCCAAAGTGTGGTCTAGGCAAAAATATAGCGGTTGGAAAATTTCGATAAATTTTCAAATCTATACCCATATCTTACGAAGGGGGTACCCAGGGGGTAGTCTAAGGTGTCCAAGAGAAGCTCCTCCTCGCCACCTTTCCAACGCCGGTCTAAGTGCCCCGATTGGTCCAAAAACGAAAAAGTTATGGGCATTGGCAGTTTGATCTTGATTTATTATGAAACTATTGATTTGTGCGTCCGTCCGTTCGTCCGTTCGTCCGTTCGTCTGTCCGGAAACTTTTTAGGCCCCCACAGATTCCGGTACCGATATGCCTAAGCTGTAGCTGGTGTCGGGCCATATCGAAACCCGTCCTCAGATTGACATTTGCATTACAGGAGAGCTGGCTATGGCTTCACTAGCCTGCATGTATACGATTTTTTCAAGTATTTATTTCGCACACTAGATCAACTTAGACACCCATCGGGCAAAGTCAGCTCGTAATTATTTGAGAAGAAAAAAGTGCCATACACACATGCCTATGTTTATGTGATATAAAAGAAAAAAGTCGATTTTTATGAAAAATCGACCCCCTTAAATTTCACACCAAACGCGATTTCTCAAAAATCAGCCCGACATTTCATGTTCATTTCTGTTTTTAGGAGCAAAATTCCAAAAACAACCATACGAGAGAAAAAAGTAAAAAACCATTCATTCATTTCCATTTTTTCATTGCGTTCAGCTTGTGTCAACGACAATTTTCATTCTCTCTTCTTCTTCTTCTTTTTTTCCGATTTTGATGCGCATAGTGCCAGCAAATTCATTGTTCTCATTCATCTCAGTTTTCATGAGACTTATAAGAGATAAGTGATTTCTGTCTTCGGAAAAGTTGTAGAGAAGATCAGGTACTACTATTTTTTTGAAGACACTATCTCCTTATCTCCTATCAGTACCGCGAAAAATGATAAGAGGAAACTCGTGTTTTTCGCGGTTATTCACATAACTGATAATAGATAACTATTTGATGTCTTGAGCAAAGTTGTAGTACTTGGTCTGCTCCACCACTTTTTCAAAGACACCCATCACTTGTGTGATCGATTGTAATTTACTTCAAGTAGCTGTTTCGGTTACACCGAGTTTTATTGTTTGAGTTGTTGTAATTTTTTGGCGTGCGCTCGAACAAACACACATTGTTACATGTTTTGCTTTCTGTGAATCGCAAACAGAGAGCTGAGTCCAGTGTAATTTAATATTCATATTGATTTATGTTTGAAATTTGAAAAAGCAAAGTCACTTGAAGCTGTTTTATTTAAAATTTAATCGTAGATTGAAAAAATCTTTCCATTTCAATTCTCTTAACAAAGTGTACGGAAAAGTAAAATATTCAACATCACCATTGTTGGCAGCATATTGGATCTATTCCAAAAGTTTGGCGACATTATTGTGACCTGAAAAATAATACAGATCAATAAAAGAGATCAAAGCGGTATTTAATTTAGTCAGCAGTACCATGGTTAACAGCTAACTGACGAGGTGTTAGATTCGTATGATTTCTAATATCAACTTTGGCTCCTTTTTTGATGAGAAGTTCAGCAACATTCTTGTGACCTTAGAAATAATTTAGATCGATGAAAAAGATCAAACCGATTCTTTATTTTGTGAAAATACTTATTCAACATTACCATGTATAGCAGCATAATGAAGAGGTGTATTATTAAAATAATTCATGATATCCATACTGG